TTTTTTTTTGTGGTGCTGCTGGTTTCTTTGTTCCACATAATTTTCTGTAAACATGTTATTTAATTTTAATAATCAACCAGAAAGAAAACAGATATTGTACTATTTTCCATACTTTATATTTCAGAACTACCTTACTTTTAATCCAACGAATAATAAAGAGCTGGTGAGCAATAGTAAAACACGGGCCATATATTATTCATGGGTAAGTCAAAATACTGTTTTCTCCTTTAAATATGGCTACAAGCATATGTTCATTTTTAAAGTATAGATGTGTTGTTAATGTAACTACAATACACAGTGAAACCTGCAAAGAGAGGAAACTGTGTAAGGCCGACACACCTGCCAGAGAAGGAAAACGCAGATGTTCTCCACTAATCGAGAGTGATAAGAAAAGTAGTTAGAAAAGACTGCACGCTGTCAAAGGTGGAAAACTTATGAGGCCGAGAAATATGCGACAGTCCCTTTGAGTCCTGGCTCTCATATTGCAGTTATCTACGGTTTGTTGTTGTTGTTAAGTGCTGTGGCGACCTTGTATAGGGTTTCTGAGGAGTAGTTGGTGGACTTGAACTGTTGATCTGTGGTTCACAGTCCACTGCTGTCCTACTGTGGCACACCAGGAGTCCTGTCTATTGCTTAGGGGAAGGAATCCAGGTAGCGTAGTGGACTATGAGCTGGGCTTCTGACGGCAGCATCAGCAGTTCGAACCTGCCAGTTGCTCCGAGGGAGAAAAAAGAGGCTTTCTGCTCCTTTAAATATTTACAGCCTCGGCAACCCTACGCAGCAGGGTCATTATGAGTCAGAACTGATTTGACAGCACACCAACACTACTTAGGGGGAGCGCGGTGGCTCTGTAGGCTAAGCATTGGATTACGAACCACAAGGTTAACAAGTCAAGCATACCAGCAGTGCTCCATGGGAGAAAGATGAGGCTTTCTGTGTTCGCAAAGATTTACAGGCTCAGAAACCTTATACAGGGTCGCTATGAATCGGAATGGATTCCACAGCACTTAACAACAACAACACAGCAACCAAGGAAGCCATGAATATATATATTTAAATGGTTTCAATTTAATCATGTATTTATTTTAGTCCCATTAGAAGTTAGCATATGAACTAAGAAAAAATTTTAAAGTAATAAGGCAAAGATTTACTTAATGCACTTGACAGGTGTAAAATTTAGGGTTTCTTGTTCCCCTTTTAAAAAGAAATTAACAAACAGATCAGGAATTGGTACATTGGCACAGGCAAGATCATGTGATTATAAAACACTGGCTCCTGGTTTTTAGTGATATTCATTGTATCAGGTATTAATGACCATAGCGCCTCATTTGTGTAAAATTTGGATTAGTGACCATTTAAAGTCATCATCATCTGTGGCATTCTTGACGAATTTGCTCTCCTCTCAGAATATCTTTGGATGTTCCCAGAGGCTGCAGGTTCTCTTACCTGTAGAAATCGCCAAACTCTGGCCTTGTTTTGATGGCTTTGTTTTGATGATGTTGTTTTGTAGTTCCTCTTTTGGAAATGAGGTCTCTTTTGGGTAATTTTTTTTTTTTTTTTCTGTACTTCCCAGTCTGAAGAGAAAAATAAACTTGCTCACAGTGCCCCACTTTTAACAGAAAAAGTGAGTATGCCTGTTGTATTTTTATGCAATCTGATTCTTTAGAGATGAAATATATATGTGTGAAATGAGTGGCGAGTCCTGGTGGTGCACCCTGTTAAGCTCCAGTTGCTAATCAGTGGTTCGAATCCACCAGCCGCTCTGAGGGAAACAGTTGTGGCAGTCTGTTTCCGTAAGGATTGGCGGCCTTGGAAACAGTGTCTGGTCATTCTCCTCTGCCCTTCAGGGACACTGAGTTGGAATTGACGCTCTGACACTGGGTTTAGTTTTAGTTTTGTTTTATTTTAAGCTTAGTTGGTTTGGGTTATTATTTGTGTGCCTTCATATTAAACCAGTGGGCAAGAAATTTGAACTATTTCACTTGGGTTCTTTATCCATATTGAAATTTCCATCGAGGGTGGTAGAACTAAGGTGTTGTTAAACTGTAACAGAAGAAAGTTATTATCATGAGGAAAACCCACAGCACGGGATAACTTTTATGGTATATGCATATCGATTAGCTCAAAGTTAGTCTGCAATGATGTCACAAGAATAGTTGCACATGAATGGATCCTTTTAAAAATGATTCCGTTTCAGACTAATAAAAAAAGATGTTGGCTGAAATCATCTTTAAACTTTAAACCAACAACATCCCTTGAATTTTTTGTTAAAATGGAACAAAGTTTAGCTTCATTAGTAAAAATTGGCTGCTTTGCACATTATACTTATTTAAGATCTATCTATGTGGGATTAAAAAGACAGTGGCAACGTTAGCGGGCAGTATTGTTGTTAATTGCTGTCGAGTTGGTTCTGACTCATAGCGACCCTGTGTAGGGTTTCCAAGGTGAGTCTGAACCTCTGACCTTGTGTTTCAAACCGACCTTTCAGTCTAGTGCTGTAGCCTACAGCGCCACACCAGGACGAGCAGGCAGTAGGTTTCTGTTAATGCAGGAGAAACTACTTAGGAAATGAAGCTGACAATCAATGGTTGCACAACCTGGAGAGTTATTTATGTCACTGAATTGTACATGTAGAAACAGTTGAATCAGTGTATGTTCTGCTGTTACAGTCTCAACAACAGAATCGGTAAAATAAAAATTTAAAATAAGGACATTGGGTATTTAGATGCATAAGAGCCAATTGGAGGTAGTGAAACAATTCTTGTTAAGTGCTGTTGATTTGGTTCTGACTCATAGTGACCCTGTATAGGGTTTCCAAGGAGCAGTTGGTGAGTTCGAACTGCTGACCTTGCGGTTCAAACTGAGGTGAAGTGCTTATCCTATGGAACCACACCAGGACTCTGGTGAAACAATAGTTGGTGGGAAACATTTATTTTCCCATTTACCTCAAATGCTGTATCTGAGTGGATGTTGAGTTTCAAGTCTTGCATAGTTTTCTGTATTTGATACCGACATCCTCTGCCCTTGGTCAGAACATTATGGTGATTTTTTTTTCTTGCTCCCTTTTCTCAGTCATGGTTATGATTTTTGGAAATTTCTTTTTAAGAGGGGGAATACATGGAGGGATAAAAAGATAAAGATATACACAAAGAAAAATTATTCTGTGTGCAATCTTGGTTTTTCTTAAACCACAATATCAAACAGTCATGGTTTGAGATTGTGCAAGTGCCCTTGTATTCCATAGTGCTGCTCTTAGAAAGAAGCTTGGTGTCCTTGTTTCACTAATGATTGTTTTGCTCATCTTCCTGTGTCCAGACCCTGGAGAAGGACATCATGCTTGATGAAGTGGCGGGTCAACAAACAAAAGGAAGACCCCAACAAGATGGATTGCCACAGTGGTAGCAACAATGGACTCAAACATAGCAACAGTTGTGAGGAAGGCATGAGACCAGGCAGTGTTTGGTTCTGTTGTGCATAGGGTTGCTATGAGTCGGAACAGACGTGACAGCATCTAACAGCAACAACTATAATCTGTGTCTGAGTCAGAAGAGGCAAAGGCCAAGGAGAGAGCTGGGCAGCAGATCTGTTTCTGGGCACGGTGTGTGCCAGGCTATCTTTTTCTCATTCATGAGATGCATTCACTGAGGGGCTTCCAGTCTCCGCATGGGTGTTTTTTTTTTCCTACAGTTTATTTCAAAGACATTGTCTAAGAAAGGCTATGGCCTTCTTTTACCTAGCACCAGTTTCATAAGTCGTCTTATTCAGGAGCATGCCTATGTACTCAGATCATTTCTACTGATGGGAAAATTACTGAGTGATCTTTTTCAGCCAATGTGTGCTTGTGCTCACAGCAGACACCACTTCCTCTGTCTTGGAAATCTTTATAAGAGACATTGAGCAGGTGTCCACAAGTGATTGATGACTAATTCATTTGCTTTCAGCTAACAGTTTAATTGAACATGGTACATAATCTGTCACTTGCTTTTTGCAAACCTTCAGACTATCAGAACTGCCCAACACATGGCAGTTCACGGGGAAAGGATATTTTACTGATTGTTTTTTGCACTCTATGAGCTCTGGTGGTACAGTGGGTTAAGTGCTGGACTCTTAACTCTAGGGTGAGTAGTTCAAACCCACCATCAGCTCTGCGGGAGAATGAGGAGACAGGCTAGGACACCCAATGGTGCAGTTCTGCTCTAACCTACAGGGTCGCTGTGAATCGGAATCCATTCGACGGCTCTGGGTATTTCGCACTCTCGTCTCCTCCTCTATTTCTGTGAGCTGCTATAAAACGTTGTATTGATAAATGCTCTGTTACCAATAATAACTCATAACTTGTCTCGTGAAATGCAGACATTCAACAAGCATGTGGGAAAATTTAGCCAGTCTGTCTTTCACCTGAATGCCACCCAAATACTGTCAGCCACAATGGAGGGCAAACTGGTTGTCTGGGAAATACGCCACCCGCCACCGTCCGCCACCACCTTCCTGGGCTTTCCGTACATCAAACCTTGTAAACTGGTCCATCTGCAGAAGGAAGGCATCACCGTTCTGACTACAGTTGATAGGTACTGAACTTAACAAGTAACTATGGCTGCTTATCAAAGTCCCCTTTGGTTCCACGCACTAGTTTGTATGTGTCTCTGGGAAGAGACACAATTAGCTGGAAACACTGGTTCCCACTAAGGAAGAAAACCAGGCTCCATGGGGGTATGGTGGTTAAAGCACTCAGCTGCTAACCAAAAGGCTGGCAGTTCAAACCCACCAGCCAGTCTGAGGTAGAACACTGAAGCAATCGAGTTCTATAAAGATTTACAGCTTCAGAAACCCTATGGGGCACCTGTACTCTGTCTTACAGGGTGTTAAGAGTCAGAACTGGCTCGTCGTTTGGGTTTTAAGGAGAAGCACTAAGAACTAGTATTGAGAATAGGGGTCTGGGGGTGGACATGCTTTTTTTTTTTCTTTAATCCATTACCCAACTTTTACATGAATTTGAGATAGTTGAAAATATCATGACTTGGGTCAGGCGCACCTTAGTCCTTAAAGTGACATCTTTGTTCTTTATGTATTTATTTATATTTTATAATCACAGGCATAAGAAGCTCTGGTAGCATAGTGGTTACAAATCGGGCTGTGAACCGCAGGGTCAGCAGTGCGAAACTGCCAGCTGTTCCACAGGAGAAAGATGAGGCTTTCTGCTCCCATAAAGATTTACAGCCTCAGAAACCCTGTACAGGGTTGCTGTGAGTTGGAACCGACTCCACGGCATATAACCACCACCACCATACTTATAACTAGACTTATGTTGTACCCTAAATATAACATATTTTAAGTTAGAAAATAACTTGATTAGCAATATTGAATCCCCCCCCCCCATTACAAAATAACCTGTACCTATTGTTCAAGCTCACCAGCTGCTCCTCGGAGAGCCTATACAGGGTCACTGTGGGTCGGAACCAACTCGATGGCACTTAACAACAACAACAACAATTATGAAAGGGGAGTCCTGGTGTGACGCTGTGGGTTAATGCACGAGACTGCAAAGTCGTTTGAATTGCAAGGTCGGCGGTTCAAGCTCTCCAGCTGCTCCTCGGAAACCCTATACAGGGTCACTGTGGGCCGGAGTTGACTCGACGGCACTTAACAACAACAACAACAACATTATGAAAGAATCCAGACTTTAAAAAAAACTGTGTGAACTGCACTAACTCTTTGACTTCTAGAGGCCGGGGGACTCATAAACCAGTTGCTGACATGTTGATTTCAGATCAGTGACCTGTGTATGTTAGTGTAGAACTGTTCTCCTTAGGGTTTTAAGTAGGTGATTTACTGGAAGCAGATTGCCAAAACTTTCTTCCGAGATACCTTTGGGTAGAGTCAAGCCTCCAACCTTTCAGTTAACAAGTGTGTTAACGGTTTGCTTCACCTAGGAACTCTGTGAGGGCCTTTGCTTCAGACAGAAGAAGGTTTATATTCCTGCTGAATCCCTAACTTACCATGAGACCTCCAGAAAGGGGCGCTGCTTAAACAGCAAGGGGGCCTTTAACAAACAGAAATGTATTCTCTCAAAAGTTTAGGAGTCTAGAAGTCCACACTCAGAGAGCGGTCTCTAGGGGAGGTTTTCTCTCTTGGCTGGCTCTGGAGGAAGGCCCTTGTCTCCTTTGAGCATCTATAGGCCCAGCGTGTCTTGGAGAGCTCCATGCATCTTATCATCAATCTTCTTCTGGATACAGGAGCTTCACAGTACAGGGGCCCCACGTTCAAAGGATGCATCCCACCCTCAGCTCTTCTTCTTGGTGTTTGTTGTTGGGTACCATCGAGTTAGTACAGACTCATAGTGACCCTGTGCACAACAGATCGACACACTGCCTGATCCTGCACCAAGCTTACAATCGTTGTTATGCCTGAGCCCACTGCCGCTGCCACTGTGCCAATCCATCTCATTTGGAGGGGGCGGGTCTTCCTCTTTTTCTCTGACCCTCCACTGTACCAAACATGATGTCCTTCTGCAGGGACTGGTCCCTCCTGACTGCATGCCCTAAGTATGAGAGACGAAGTCTGCCATCCTGGCCTCTGAGGAGCACTCTGGCTGTACTTCTTCCAACACAGATCTGTTTGTTCTTTTGGCAGCCCATGGTCCTTTTTTTTTTT